CCCAACTTTCCTCCTCCGTCCTTGTGCGAGCCCCTCCCGTCCTTGTTCATTCACAGATTCTTCGTCCCCAACCCCATCCCCGTCCTCGTCCCCATCAGCCCTGCCTTGTCCTCCTTCCCTGCCACCCAGTCAAGCTTTCTTCCATCGAGTTCTTGATGCAGATTCCAGCTGCTTCTTCTTCCGTATACCTCCGGGCTCCCCGCCGCCAATACTGCTCCGGCACACCCAACTCTTCCCCTTCCCCTTCCCCTCCTCCTTCCCCCGTCCCTCCCTCCAAGCAGCTCGCCACTCTCGAAGCCTCTATCCGATTGATCCTCCAAAATGCAACTGTTGTGTCGGCCTTGGGCGAGGAAATGCAGCTTTGAATTGGCGGAGGGGAAAGGCAGGGATGAGGATGCGAATATGATTGTATGCCATGTCACAGTAGTTTAATAGATCATAGGATATCTGTATAAATCAACGTGATTGCAAAAAAGGTTTTCAGAAATGTTTGCATCCAACACAGATTTTAAGAATGCTCAAACTTCTAGAGTGTCCTGCAAATCTTTTGCTCTTGCCAACTTGAAGCAGAGTGATCTCGAGAGAGCAATGTCTATTTCTCATTGATCTGGCCGAATGTATAGATTACAAAGAATGCTGGACCTCGAATAAGAATCCCTGACCAAAATTTCAATCCTCCCTTGAGGATATTTTCTTTTTCTTTGAGCTCTCGTGCTGTACTGATGAACTCTTGCAGATTTGGATTCATAACACATCTGCTTCTACTGTCGGGGGCATTAAGACAGAAAGGTGTAGAACAGTGCACATGCAAACACACAAACACACCCACATGATCCCGGAATTGTACTTGCCTGAAAGTGAGGAACTTTAGTTGTCCGACGAGTCACCAGATGATAGTATCGGCGTTCGGGTGCGAGACTTAACTGATACCTTCAGACGCACTTGTACCGGGACGCACCCGCCGGGGATGATGGCAGCGAAGGACAGGGAGCCGGGCCTTGAGCTGACGCAAGTTGAAAGATCCTGGAACTGATGCGTTCACTCAGCGAGTGTAATAAGTCGGTCGGATCACCTGAGACGTGCCTTGCGAGAGACCATCCAGAGCTGCCGTTTCCTTCAAGTCCGGGAGTCTGCCGGGCCCGCGGCCGCCGGGGCCAGGGCCCGGCGGGTGTGGCACGCGGCCAGCCTGTGAGTCAAAGCCTTGGCTGTTTGAGATGAAGAGGCTTGACAAATTTGACTAGTACACGATTGGACGAATGGAGGGAAGTGGAGAAGAGAGAGGGAGGATGCAAGTTAGGTAAGACAGGAGTGAAGTTAGAGCAAACAGTTGAGACAAACAGCGCAGAGTCTCGAGCTTTCAATGTTGAGCATCAAAGACCTGAGGATTGTTGTTCTCTGCCTTGTATTTGCTTGCACCACCGCCATCAAACAACAACACGTTGATAACCTCGATGTAGAGGACATCACAAGAACCCAGCAACATCAGCCATCGACTGATGGCGCAGAATTGTATCATTCGATGAAGCGAAAGTTCAAGAAATTCTCTAGCCTTGTCAGGCTTGTTCAGAAGAAGTATGGGATATCGCTCAGTCAGGCAGCGAGCACTGTCAAGGCTCGATCGCTGCTAAAGAGAAGCTGGGAGAAGCTTCAAAAGCTCCAAGACGGTTACAAGAAAGCTGCTGCTAGAAGAATCAAGAAGAAGGCCAGGAAAGTGGAGCTCCAGAAGGTATTTCCTCCCATGGTTCGTCTCTTGCTGACGACGGTTTAGCAGCAGGCAATCGAGTCCTCTGCACAGCAGCAGGGAAGGAGGGTAAGCAAACAGGAAGCGGTGTTCTTGTTCACGGCTCTCAACCCGCCGGTGCAGCCAAGGGAAGTGACCTTCCCTCTGAGCGAGGAGGAGTTTGTACGGCTGCTGGCATCGAGAGAAGCGTTGGTGGAGACAGCGGAACAGGAGCTGAGGGAGGGGAAGCTCACGAGCGCGGCGATGAGAAAGAATTTGATGATGGAAGCAGACGCCAACCAGAGAGAAAGGAGAGACATCCTTCTGCAACACTGCTCTCGAGGCAGGAGCCTGCACGCTACGAGCATCGGCATGGCGTTGGCCCAGTTCGACCTGCTGGCAGAGGAGGTGCAGGAGAAGGCGATCATGAGAGCGAGGGAGAACATTGACAGCATGCCTCCCGGAGGGCTCCAGAACCTCCTCGAGGCGATGGCGGAGCGAGTTCTGAACGAGACGAGGACGCTGAGCCAGGACGCGACAGATCGCGCGGAATGGTTCGCGAGGAACTACTCGCCTCCTCGGTCCAGCGCCCATCCTGTGATGTAGTGGACATGCCTAATGTTTTGAGAGAGCAATGAGAGCTTTGCAATGTGAACAACTCGAAATCTCCTATGTTCGAACAGGAACCTCACTCTGACCCGCCCTTATTCTGGCCCGCAGTGATTGGCGTCTTGTGAGGACTTTTGCTGCCGGCCAAGAAGGTTGTCTACGAATTTGACTCGTATCCCCCCTTTCTCTTCTTATTTCCCTCATTGCCTGTCTGAACCCCTCTCCTTTCCCAGCAGCATTTCATCCTTCTCCTACCTCCCGTCTCCTTTCTTCTTTCTTCATTCCTACCCGGCACCTCCTCCTCCTCCTCCTCCTCTCGCCCCCACCACCCCCCCTCGTGCTAATCCTTGTCCTGCTCTGTTCTCCTCTCCTCCTCCCTATCCTCTCTCCTCTTGTCTTCCTCCTCCAGTTCTTCTTCGCTCTCCACTTCCCATGCCGCAGTCTCTCAGACTGATCGGAGGCGTAGCCCACAAAATTTGGTACCCCCTACCCCCAATACAGTTATGAAACGCACCGGTCTCGCACGCCAGGAGCAGGAGCAGGAGCAGGAGCAGGAGGAGATCAAGGGAGAAACTTAAAGAGCAGGAGGAGGGGGAGGAGCAGGAGGAGGGGGAGGAGCAGGAGGAGGGGGAGGAGCAGGAGGAGGGGGAGGAGCAGGAGGAGAAGGAGGAGGAGACCTAGACTGCTTCTTCACCGTCCACTCCCCACTTGTCGCTGGTTCCAGAAGGTAGGAGGATGGCTGTGTAGAACATCATCGAGTGTGTACGTGTGAGGACGGGAGCAAGCAGGGATGAAGGAGGAGCCGGTTGACGTGGAGGATCTTAGCAGCTGGATCCCATGCAGGATGGTCGGTCGCTTCGCCCCTGTGCAGGGCTTCTTCCTCGCTGACGGCGCCTTCGTCCGCTTCAAGAGCGCTGCGAGCCTGAGACAGCTGTCTACCGACCTCGCGGTGCCCACCAGCTCCATCATGGCGTGTACCACGGAGGGATGCGCGCTCTCTGTCGCCGTTCTCGGCATGGCGGGGAAGGGCCTTTCCTTCGAGTACCACTCTCCTGCGCTCTGCTGCCAGGCGGCTCTGCTCCTTGCTCAGGCAGGGGAAGGGAGCGAGGAGCCCCTGGCGACTGACACGCCGAGTCAGAGGGAGGAGGAAGCTGACTGTGCCGTTCTGGACGAGGTCATCCTGAGCAGTCGACTTGGCCCCCTGGTAGGGGAGGAGCTGCGGCTGCTTGCATGGGAGAGGTGCATGTGCACGTCGGGTACTGAGGCAACGAAGGCCATGCAGAGGCCGGGAGTACTGTATGTGTGCGAGAAAGCGCTGTTCTTCGTGCCGGATCGCTACTGCAAGAGCAACTCGATCTCTTCTCTCAAGAGAAACTCCGTCATCATCTCCATCAAGGACATCTTGAACGTGCTCGAAGTTTTCGGTGGGATTGTTGTGGAGTGCAGGAGGGAAAAATCTTCGACGGCTGCACGCGTGATGTTTCAGTTCAGCCTTGACAAAGACTGGGAGGTAGTATGATGATGATGATGATGATGATGATGATGGTGGTGGTGGTGGTGGTGGTGGTGGTGGTGGTGGTGGTGGTGGTGATGATGATGATGATGATGATGATGATAATGATGATGATTATGAGGAGGAGGAGGAGGAGGAGGAGGAGGAGGAGGAGGAGGAGGAGGAGGAGGAGGAGGAGGAGGAGGAGGAGG